AAGTATTACAGTAGTTAGTCTATGCTATGCCATGCTCCCCCACCTCCATTTCATTAAATTACTAATTAACACTGTTGGGTTAACTGCACAAAGGATGGGAACATTTGAATAAATAATCTCATATTGTGGAAAGTCCAGATATGGTCAGAATCTTATTGTTTTTGGCCAAAGACAATTGTGAAACTCATTAGAAAGAAGTGGCACGATATGATCTTTGAAGTGAGTTACTAAAATCAAAATAGGAAAAGCTAAAGGTTTCTAAGTACAAAAGTAGAAAACATTCCAGGCTAAATTTGTGAAACAAATCATTAGTTAATACATTATTTCTAAATTGTGTACCTATCCAGAAAGCTGCTTATTGGTTTTCGTATTGTTCTAGATCCTCACTGTCCATTACAGTACTCATTAGCCATATGTGGTTATAGAATTTAAAATTAGTAAAAATTCTGTAAAATTAAAAATTGAGTTTCCTGGATATGAAAGCCACATGTGGCTGGTGCCTACTGTTTTAGATGGCACCAAATAGAACATCTCCATTATCACAGAAAGTTCTATTGGGTAGCACTATTTTACATAAAATGCCAATTAAAATGAGCCCCAAGAAATAACTGGTATAAGACTAACTATACTGGGTAAAACTAAAAAGTGGAACATATCTATTTATGATAAAAGTTCTATGCAAAATAGGAACAGAAAGGAACATCCTCAAACTGATAAAGGCATCTACCCTTACACTTAAGGGTGAAAGACTGCCTGCTTTCCCCCTAAAATCAGCAACTAGGTAAGGATATCCAGTCTCATCACTTTAATTCACCATTATACCTGAAGCACTAGCAGTTCACTAGTGCAGGACAAAGAACCGTAATGCAGACAAGATTAGAAAGGAAAAGTAAACCTATATTTGTAGACAAGATGATTATCTATGTAGAGAATTCTGAAGAATCTAAAAAAAATGCTATTAGATTTAGGTGAATTTAGCAAGATCAACATACAAAAACAAAACAAAATCCCTCCATTTACTGTCAACAAACAAGTGTAAATTTGAAAATTAAGAATATGTAATTTAAAATAGCACCAAAAAAAACATGAAACCCTTAGGAAAAAAAATTCACAATAGATGTGCAAAACCTATACACAGAAAATTACAAAATATTGCTATGAGAAATTACAGATGACCTAAATAAATGGGAAATTATACCATGTTCCTAGATTATAAGGTTCAATATTGTTAAGATGTTAATTTTCCCCCAAATTATCTACAGAGTCAGTGTAATCCCAAACAAAATCCTAATTGTTTCTTGGTTGAAACTGAGAAGCTAATTCTAAAATTATACGTTGCTAGTAGAAATACAAAATAGGATAGCCACTTTCAAAATAGTTCTGCAATTTCTTAAAAAGTTAAACCAATACTTACCATATGATCCAACAATCCCATTAACTAGATATTTACCCAAGAGAAATGAAAACCAATGTTCATGCAAAGACATATATAAGAAAGTTTATAACAGCTTTATTTATAATAGCCAAAATCCGAAAAACCTCAAATGCCCATCAGTTGATGAATTAACAAACATATCACAGTATATCCATCCATACAATGAAATACTGCTCGGTAATAAAAAGGAATAAATTACTGATACAGGAATTACATGCATAAATTTAAAAAAAGCACTAGGTTCCAAGCAAAATCAGATATAAATAAAAGACTATGTGCTTATTATTTCATTTAGATAAAACTGTAAATGAGGTAAAAGTAGAGTGGACAGAGAGGTTAGGATCCTGGTTTCCAGAAATACAGGGAAGGGCAGAGGATGGACTACAATGAGACATAGGAAATTCAGGATATGACAGAAATGTTCTATATTTTTACTTGCTGTTATTTATACAAATGCGTGTTTGTCAAAATTCATTGGACACTTAAAAAGGGAAAATTTTATTTTATATGAATTAATTTATATGTATTTTTACTAATGAATTTATATGAATTTTTATGAATTTATATGAATATTTGACTTAAAAAATAAAAGTAATAGGGGCGCCTGGGTGGCTCAGTCACTTAAGCATCCAACTCTTGATTTCAGATCAAGTCATAGATCCAGCCCCAAGTCAGGGTACCCATTTAGCAGGGGGTCGCCTTCCTCCCTCTCCCTCTGCCCCTCTCCCCCACCCATGTGTGCACGCACACACACTCTCTCTCTAAAAATAAATAAGCAAATCTAAATAAAGAAATAAATGAAATATGGCTAACCTTCTATTTTGGTGCTCTATAAGTACAGATCTGTTATACCAAGGAAATATGGGTATAGAAATAGACTGTCTGGAAGGCAAACAGTGTAACTTCTGTCAGTCCCATACTTCTCTGGACTTTAGCTTCTTCTGGTGTAAACAGGAGTTTATAACCCAGTTTCTCAAATCTGTTTCCAGGAAATTCAGAATGTTACAGGTATTTTGGGAAAGGGGTTTCTACTGTCCAATTACCTAGGAAACATTCCCCATAAGGTGATTTCACAATGCATTTAGCATATGAAAAGCTCTGAGCAGGTCTACATGCATTCATTTTTTTTTTCTGTAATTCTTTAAACTCAGTGTTTCCCACATTTACTTGACCAAGAAACACTTCTATCAAAAAATGGTGTTAGGGGTGCCTGGGTGGCTCAGTGGGTTAAAGCCTCTGCCTTCAGCTCAGGTCATGATCTCAGGGTCCTGGCATCAAGCCCCACATCAGGCTCTCTGCTCAGTGGGGAGCCTGCTTCCCCCTCTCTCTCTACCTACTTGTGATCTCTGTCTGTCAAATAAATTTTAAAAAAATGGTGTTAGTGGGGCAACTGGGTGGCTCAGTCAGTTAAGCATCAGGTCGTGATCCCAGAATAGTGAGATGGAGCCTGCTTAAAATTCTCTCTCTCCCTCTCCTTCTGCCTCTCCAACCCCCACCCCCTGTTCCCTCTCTCAATGAATAAATAAATAAATAAATAAATAATGTTTTGGATGGTATTGCTAAAGTTCTAAAATTCATTGAACTTTCAAGATTACCTTCTTGATTAAGTTTTCTTAAAACTTATTTATTAGAGAGAGAAAGGGAGACAGAGCATGCACATGAACACACACACACACACACACACACACACACACGCACACACACGAGTAAGTTGGAGGAGCGGCAGAGGGACACTCTTTCAAGCAGACTCCTTGCTGAGCACAGAGCCTGACAGGAGGCTCAGTCTCAGGACCCATGAGATCATGACCCACGAGATCAAAACCTGAGCTGAAACCAAGAGTCAGATCTTCAAGGGACTAAGCCACCCTGGTGCCCCACCTTCTTGATTAAGTTTTATTTACATTGAGAAACTATATAACTGATTGACTTTAAAGCAGCTATGCAGAACTGTAGCCCTTAATGAGAATACTTTTAAATCACAAATTTTAAAGGACTTCTTATTCATCTTGCTACTTTCCTAGTCAACTCCTCTGAGTTTTTACCAGGTTCTGAATTCTAAATATCCTAAACTTAAATATTTTTGACTCCTATATACTACATGAAAATACATCATGGTTGAATTATCTTTATTTGAATAGCTCCTCTTCAAATAACAAGGCAGAATTAAGAATGTGAAAACATCAATGCCAGGAACACTAAAATTCCTGAGCAATTACTATAAAATTAACAAAGTGATCTAAGAAAGTAAGTGTTCACTGAACAAAACTGATATAAGTTTGAATATATATAGTTAAAATAGTTTTTTAAAAGGGAAGGAAAGAAAGACTAAAGATGGAAAACCAATATTCTAAATGCTGCTCTTCAGTGCTTTACATGGGATCACTGAAAGAAGTAGAAAGCATTACAAATAATGTTATAGTGTGGTTAAAAATATTGTATCTTTTGAATGTAAATAAATAGATGAATAATAAGAGCCATCTTAATTTAAGTCAGTAAGTTAATTAGGAATAAAGCTTTAGGGGAAAAGTGAACACTGGAAAATTCTAAAGGATAAACAAACCACCCCTGAAAATGAAAAAAAAAAAATGTTAGAAATGCTATGTCCAATTAGACCCAAATCAGTTGTCTCCTTCACCCAGTAACAGCCAGGCTATGGAAGAGTATTGTTAGTAATGTATACCGATGTATCTAATTTACTTCAATAACCCTTATGACTCTTTATCAATAATTGTATCTACATAACTTCTGAAATTATTTCTAGCCTAAATTTGTTTAAACTCTTGGGGTAAATAGCTTCTATAAGATTATTATATAAAATAGTATTCCTTTTAAAAAGTATTTTTATTTTTCAATTTGAATTTAAGGAATATTCTCTGGGCCCTAGGCACTACCTAAAACAATTTTTTAGAAGAGTAAAAAAATAGGGAAACAAAGTGGCAATTACTCATCTAGCTGTTTATATTCTTTTTAAGAGTTAAATTGTAGTACAAATGGTTTTGTAGCTAGGTCTCCTTGGAAACCACTATTAGTATTTTTCCATAATGGTCTGGCCAGAGATGCCCCAGGAATAATCCGAATGGAATATGCAAATTTCAGTAAACTTTAAAAAGGGGAAGGGTGATTTTTCTTGTTTTAATAAAGACATATAAAATTTATCACATCATTATGTTTAGTAAACAGATAAAAGCAGAATGTATTTTGTTTTGTTCTTTACATAGTTACCCATCTTTACATAGTTCCCTGTAAAATCTTTAAGCTCAGCACATAGATATGTAAACAGGCATCCATATGGTTAAAAACATGTATAGTATATAAAAAAGTAAATTCTTCTGCTAAGAAGAAAGAAAGAAAGATGGAAAAAAAGAAAATAACACAAGATCACAAAACCATAATCACATTAAATAAAAATGTTTTTAAAAAGTTGGACCAACCATGAAGCCCCTCAAGAATGTAAGCAGCTTGTTCATACTTCAAATTTAATTCTGGTACCTATTTTTGGCTGTATAATAAGTTCAGGAAGAAAAAAATCAAGAATATGTTCATAGTTCACATGGATGTTACTCACCCACATTTGGAGGTTTCACATAATTTGCAGGTAGTTCTGGAGGTCTGCCTCTATGTAGAGCTGCAAAAGCGGACCCATTCCATAGTGTACTCTTACAGTCTATTCAAAAAGATTGAAAAGTTAGTCAAGAAATAGAACAGTGTTTTTTTTTTTTTATTGTACCTTAGAGGTAAATGTCTGTTTTCAATTTTGTTTGTTGGAATACATTTTTAACTACTAATACCACAATAACAAATAACATGCATATTTTTTAACATGTTATAAACTACATTATGATTGTTAAATAACAACACTTTAATGTAACACCCAGATACTTTATTTCTGTGCTGATCTAGAATTAAAGCTTTTATTCAGCTTGTATTTGAATCATATAAATATGTCATGGATTAATAAGGTTTTAATTTTATATTGGTCTTTCATGATCTTTAGGCTTATATATTTCTACTTACATAAAACTATATAAGCAAGGTTAGGACTACAGCACAAGTATGCCAGGTAAAATTCAGAAACATTTATACTTGGTGCATAGTCATACTATAGAATGCCTGCCAATTGTGCCGTAATAGGTAACAATATTGCATATTAGATGATAAATGACTATAAACGGTTGTGTTTTTTGTCTTTCATGTTTATGTCAAGAAACTCAAGTAAATGTGAAATATTCCTAATAATTCAACTATGATACAAGAATATTGCACTACTCTCTTTTGAGGGGGGTAAGAGCAGAGGGAAAGGGAGAGAGAGAATCCCAAGGAGGCTCTATGCCAAGCATAGCGACCAACACAGGGCTTGGTCTCACAAACCCAAGATCATGACCTGAGCTGAAATTAAGAGTTGGACACTTAACCGACTGAGCCACCCAGGCACCCCTCTACTGCTCTCCTGAAAACTTCCAAATTAAATGATTTGAAGACTTCCCTTATATTATAAAACTAGATGTTTTAAACTGGTATTTTTGAAGCTATTCTACCTTTGTTAACTAGAATTTTTAAAAAACATGATGCTAATAAAACAAAACAAATTAGTTGCTAGACCTCAAGTATGTATTACACTAACAGGCATCCTTAATGCCTAACTTCACATTTTTATATTCATAAAATAGTATTTTATATATTTTACATTTTGGGGTTCCATGAAAAATCCTTAAAAGACTGAAAACAGTGGAGTACAAAAACTATTACTGAAAGGTCACTAAAAGGTTGATATATGTTTTTAATATTTTCAATTATAAAAATTTTTATATATCACATATAAATTTTTACATATTATTTTTCATTTTCTTGTTATAAAACGTACACCATGATTAGGATGATATAAAGACTCATAATACTAAAATCTAAAAATATTAAAACATAATAAAAGACTTTTAAGCATTCATACTATACTAATCAAAGCAATGATCTTTTAAGATCCCTATTCCACAGGATTACAAAAAGATTTTACATTCTATACTTCTATTGTATTGTTTTATAGTAGAGGGTTTCTTTTAGGCCTCTAAAAATTTATTTGTACACTAAGAAAATAAGATTGACAAAATAAGAAAAACTAGAAGAAAATTAGTATTTAGGAAAGCATGGGAACATTTACTTAACATAAAAATATGCTGTTCTCCACTCCTTCCTCTGAAACCTATGAAAATCTTACCTTTGGCATCCCGTAACAGAGACTGCCGACCAACACCCAGTAATGTCTGTACCCCAGGAACACTCTGAGGGATCTCCTTATCTAGTAAGGGACCAATCCGCTCACAAATTTTAAGGAGGTAGTCTGGAGGAATGTGTGCATTGGCTGCCACCTAAAAAAGCATAAATAAAACAGAAAAACGAATATGGTTTAAACACATAATTTACTCCATTACCAAACTATTCCATCATGGAACAAAGCACAATTTTTATATATAGGATCAGAAAATAACATTTTAAATATTTAATACTTTAGCCAAACTAAAGAAACAGCTACAAAAATTAAGCACATCTAAATGATAACATTTAAATGACATGGCACTCAAACTTACTTTTACATGCCTTGATTAAATCATTTGCTTAGCTGTTAATCTTATGAAATAAGTGTTGCAAAACAGCAAAAGTGCGCATGCCTAAAATTAAAGTACAAAGACAACGGGTAAACTCTACTAGTACTTGATTTATTCAGTAGTGATGAAGTGATCAAAAATCAGAGAATCTAGATTCTATATAAATGATAAGAATACAAACAAAAGGTATTACTTGCATCAAACTCTCACCTAAATCCCCTTAGGATTAACAGGACAAATCTGCTTAAAGAGCAGAACTAGTTTTCCTTTAAAAAGTTAACTGGTTTCCAAAACAGTATCCAATTAATGTTTTTATAAATACTATGATCCAAACAACTACGCTATGTACTCAAAATTCATCACAACATTAACTCATTTTTTAAACACACAAGAAAATTTCTGAAGATGGTAAACTTATGTACACAGGGATGAGAAAATTAACAAAACTATTCATTTTTTATCTAAGTTAATGGTTAAGTCCCAAGATGTGTTTCATAAATACCTAATTATTAAAGGAGCAAACAGAAAACTAGATATTAAAAATCCTTATATTAAAAAAATTACATTCTCATCTTGACATAAAGGGAGAAAGAAAGAATGAAAAATAAATATAAATAAAAATTTAATAAATATATTAAATATGTTATATTAATATATAATAAAATGTAAATAAATAAATATTTATTTATTTATTTATACCATCGCATAGGACCCCACATCAATATATTATCACCAGGTCAAGAACAATACAACATAAAAGAATAATTTTGAAAATCATCCCTAATGATCACCATGAGAAAATAAATTATGTGTGTTCTTGGTAGGTATTTGTTCAATGAATCAATGAACATTAAAAACCCAAAGTAAACAAACTGAGGGTTTTGGAGGGGAGGGGGTAAGGGATTGGGAGGACCTGGTGGTGGGTATTAAGGAGGGCACGTATTGCATGGAGCACGGGGTGTGGTGCATAAACAATGAATCTTGGAACACTGAAAAAATTAAATTTAAAAAAAAAAAAAGTAAAGTCCATCTATAAGAAATATCACATGAATTCATAGAGGAAAAATCTTAGATTCTCCTATCAAGGTACCTTTTTTGTCTTCTTAAAAAACATACGTTAAAGAACTACAATCCAACATGTATTCAGAATTCTGAGAATAAGGGATTCTATTGTGATTTTTAAAAAATTATTTCCTGCCAGTTATCTTTTTTAAATCCTAGCAAAAATTAATTTCAATCTACCAAAATAAATGGTTCTTGGGAACTGTCATGATGCTCAGAATGAATGGCAACCAAACCTGATTAATTTATATTTTCGTCAACATGGTTTGGCTTCTAGATTGGGACAAAGGATCAAGCAAATTCTTTCTGTTATTTCTCCCATCTCTAGTTTGTTTTCCAAGCAAATAACTCTATAGAACCACCTCTTAGAAAAATATACAGGTAACATTAAAGTCAAAGAAGCTGATGATTCAATTTAATCTAATTACTATCTATAGACAATGATATCTTAAAATCCTAGTTTGTAATTCATTCCCTCCACATTAAAACATTTCTTAAATATGCCCACAGGCAAGTACACTTAGTACCCCAAAAAATATGTATCTCAAAGAAAAAAAGCTTTAAAATACTGTATATGAACATCTATAACAGCTTACGCCTTTTTTTCCCACCAACAGTCTTGGATATACTCCACTTCCATTATCAGTCATTATTTTTTCAAGTAAACACTATATGAAGTCTTTACATAGGACAGCAGTTCATGTCTTTACTGGCATTTTCTTTTTTGTTTGTTTGTTAGGGTTTGGGGGGGGAGTTGGTTTATTTCTTTAATTTAAATTTAAGTTATTTAACATATGGTATATTATTAGATTCAGGGTAGAATTTAGTGATTCATCAGTCTGTATCACACCCAGTGCTCATTACAAGTGCCCTCCTTAACTGGCATTTTCTTTCTGATCAATTTTCTTTTTTTTTTCATCCTCTTACCATCTCAAGAGTTATTCACCTGCCTAGAAATTGCAATATATTTAGCCATATATAATCCAGAAAATAATTCTCTAATATGAATTTTTAAAATCACCTCCTTACAGAAAATCTGTCAGAACTATATCCTAAACAGACAACTTAACTCTCCTAGCCACTTCATTTTGTAGAAACAATGATGTTGGATTTTCAGTGAATTACACAAATCTTTGTATCAATTCCTCAGTAATATATTTTAAAATATAGAATCATTAATTAAGCAACCAAAACAAGGCTTATCTACACCCAAATTCTCCCCCTTGAGATTTTTATTATAAGCCATTAAAGAAATTTTACACGTTTGAATTCCACCCTATACAATTAGAAATTCCTTAATTTCTAAATGGTTCCATTCAATAAGTCCGTTCCTCTAAAATCAATAAAAATTTGATTACAAAGCAGTAGTAGATAAGCATATTCTATCAACACAGCAGCAATAACAATACATTTGAGTTGAACATGCTAGAGTCTCCTTTAAACAATATCAACAGGCTTCCAGACTATATCAGCTCAGTTCTTGCAATAATAGTTTTTTTCTAAATCAAATTTCAGGACTTGTAAGTGGTAGTCAACATTTATTTCAATCCATTTGTTTGAATAAAGTTGAAATTTTTTAAAGACAATCTTTTTTGGCATAAGAACTTCTATATACCCTCAGTAATTACTTTCTTAAGTCTTTAAAAAAATTCTACATTAGAATTATGTATGAATATAATATATAATAAAATGTAATATTAAAAGTATATAATAAAATATTCTATGAAATTCATAACAAAATATTATAAGCCACTCTTTTCAATTAAAGCTCAAATCTTCTAGTTTCAGTGATCTTTCTCTCTGGAATATAATGGCCAAGTAACACAACAAGCACTTTGATATGTGCAGAAGAAAAGCATTCTCCAAAAACAAAGTTCAAGAGTATAATACAAACTTCTATATTATTCTGTAAAACAGCTCCAAGGAGTTAAATTATAGAATGTTTGATTTAGAAGATCCTTATACACAATTAGCCTAACTTCACATCTAACAATAGGAAAAACATCCAGAGAGGTCAAGTCCAGTGGTCACAATGAATGTACAGAAATCTGGGTTTCCCTGTCCACAGCTCTTCCTATTACTTACTGTCTTATTAAGGCAACTGAAAATTTATGAAGATAACTAACACAAAGACTGCAAAAAAATAAACCATAAATTCAAATAAACTGAAAGAAATTAAATGAAGCCTAGATTATAAACCTTGATCAGAAGACTGCTGACCTAAACAGCAAACTTAACAACTGAATTACTAAACTTCAGAATTATGACAAGTGAGAAGACCAGAGTGTTCACAGAAATGATCCTACTCATCATAATTAGTTAAAAGGAATCCAGCTGAGAACTGAAAAAAAATGCAAAAGGTACCTAGCTTCAGGGTGCCAGGCCCATACCAAGCACTACATTTGAAATACTAAGTTTCAGATAGCAATAATGACATTTTTACCTTGGCTTTTAGAAATTACAGGATAAGTAACTCCAAAAAAACAAATAAAAGAGATAATTGTTTCTGTGTTTTGTTTTCTAAGATCATGACTACACAGGCAAATGAAGAATCAAACTGGGCCCATACAAATGAAATCATAACATTTTATCTGAGATTTCAATTTTTTTGGTGTGGGCAGGGTAGGGGGAGAAGCACATATAAAAAATTAAGACACGTGATTCTTTTTTATATTTATGGAAAACAAAACAGATTTTGAAAAATACAGCAAGGTTTTAAATACATCAATATAAGTATAATATAAAGATATGCATGTTACTTTGAAGTCTGGAAGCCTGGATTATTCAGGTTCTAAAATTTACTAGCTGTTACTCCTTCTGGCAGTGTGACACAGTAGAAAGGACTTAGATTTTAATTTCTCTACCATCCTTAGTTCCTACTTCTGTGACCGGCAAAGTTACCCAGTCTGAGAGCCTAAGCTTCCGCATCTGAAAACAGGGAGTAATGATTACTACCTCATACGTTTTGTAAAACAAAAACAGAATCATTCACTCTTGCATTCATTCATCCAGACGTTTAACATATAGAGATGAAATGGGAAGACAAACTGCTGCCCTAAGGGAACCCACAGTCCTAGTAGAGGAAACAAACTAGTAAATAAAACAAACAAATAAATAAAACAAACAAATAAATAAATAACAAATAAACAAATAAATAAATTAAATAAATAAAACAAATCAAAGTATAAGTACCTAGAGGTAGTACAAAGAGCTAAGAGAAGCAAAGAAATACAGTACCTCCTTCAGCCTAAAGGGTTCATGTCAATCTATGTCACCCTAAATGAAAGCACTAATTAGGGCTTTCAATTCTATACACAAAAAATGCTGAATAAATGTGAAAATATATAACATACCTAAAAGTAATTATGACTTTGGTTCAGTCTTATGATACAAGTCCCTTTAAAATGATTAAAAAATATTAAAACATGCCTTTAAAAAAAGAAGTTTCCAAGTCACAATTTCAATATGTAAAATTTATGTTAACAAAAACTTCATTTAAACACATACATACACACAATACTCCTCATTACTATGTTTGTAGTTCCCAGTAAAGCTCCAAGGAGGAAGCAATAAAACAGCCAACAATTCAACAGGGTCACCATAAATGATGAGACATCTGTAATTATTTAAATTATCTACAATAAGATGAATTGTAAGAAGCAAATCTAATTCTATTATGTTGTAAATAAGAGTCAAGGAGAAATGAAAAATGTCCAGATCAAACTTCAAAAACACTCACCATGACTTCAAATTTCTCCCTGTATCACTACTTAAAATTCTGAAAGTTGATTTAGCACATTTTATTTTGAATGCCATATTCAAAAACCCTACAGTTTTACATAAACTGACAAACATTTCATTTACAGGCTCATATTTCAAAAGGCACTTCAGATCTGAATATGTCAATACTTGCTGGCTAGTAGCTTTAACAAAATACCTGCTGCCTTTTGTTCCAAATTATAAGTAAAACACTAAATCTGATTTCAGTAAGAAAAAACAGGGATTTCTAGAATGCATAATAGTAACAGTAATGAAGTGCTGAAGAAATCCAACTTATTATCCTACTATTTTTTTTGGATAAACCAAGTTAAGCAGCATATACAATTTAAGTGAAAGTATACACACAGAAAGGCAGAGGAGTTTTGTTTCATAGATGTAGCATACATGAAGAGGTATAGGATTATAAACAAGGATATCAAAATACTGATACCCATTTTTGATATCCTTGTTTATAATCTTTCACCTCTTCATCATACATCTGCATTTTTTTTATACCCTAGTATACCTTCAATTTGAAGTATTGTTATATAATTTAACATACAGGATTATACTACTTATAAATACTGTAAGTACATACACATAAGGTTTTACTAATACTTGCCCCTAACTTCAACCTGAAACATGTAGCTAAATCAAAGATCACACTGTATAAATCAATTGTCTAACAGCATTTTAAAAAATACATACACTAAGAAAAAAAAAAACCATCTCTCCCACAATGAAGCTACACAAAATCAAAGGTCATATGTGAAATAATTTAAAGCAACTATACAACTGTTGTATCTATCTAGCAATCAATCTAACACAGCACATTCTGTTCTCAGCCACTATACTTCTTTTCCTTCGGTTCAAATTCTCACTTAGCCCTAGCCCATTTTCCCTTAAAAAGAAACCTCTAAGTAGAGAACAGATATTTGACTTAAAATAGGACCATATTACCAAAGTATAATATTCCTAGAAACACTGGATCCCAGAAAGATAAAAACCTCTGTACAATATGAAAATTAAATGAAAAACAAAAAAAGATGCACTATCTAAACTATAGACAATGTTCAAACAATAGATGGAATTTTGTGTATATAAAAATAAAAGTGTACGGAAATATAAAAAACAATAAATTTAAAAGATAAATGTGAAAATCTGGCATATGTAGGGATATACAAATAGATTAACAACAATTAAAAAAATAACTGGTTAAAATTTAAGCTTCACTAATCAAAAAAAGAGCTAATTAAATCAACCAGGGGCTATTTCACCTACTAAAGCCACCAAAAGATTGAAAAAGTATTTAAAAACTCACTCTAAATACCTAGATGGTAACATCATAAATTAGTACTATCTTCTGGAGAACAATTTATATATATACATAAATACACATATAAGCAGTATTATATAAGAAAAGTTATAAAACCGATGAGACCCTTTGACCTGATAACTATGCCTTAGAAATACCGCTCAGGAGGGGCACCTGGGTGGCTCCGTGGGTTAAAGCCTCTGCCTTTGGCTCAGGTCATGATCCCAGAGCTCTGGGATCGAGCCCCACATCGAGCCCCACATCGAGCCCCACATCGGGCTCTTTGCTCGGCGGGGAGCCTGCTTCCCTCTCTCTCTCTGCCTGTCTCTCTGCCTACTTGTGATCTCTGTCTGTCAAATAAATAAATAAGATCTTTAAAAAAGAAGAACAACAAAAGAGAAATACAGCTCAGGAAAATAAATCCAAAAAAAAAAGAAGAAGAAGAAGAAGAAAGACTACTTAATTATGCAAAGATATTAATGAAAAACTGGAAGTGACCTAAATGTTCAACTGAATGTTGAGTTCAAATCATAGCCAACCTAAAAGTAACTGAATCTTTTACCATTTAAATGACAATGTCTATTCAAAAAAGATAATTGCATGTGAAAGTGTTAAGAAAATACAGAGTTTAAAATGGATATTAATTAACATTGACTACCACTAGGTAAAAATATGCCTCTAAATATAAGGAAAGGAAGTCTAGCAAACTGGATTTTGTGGGGTTTTTTTTAATTTTTATGTGTCTTTGTGGTTAGTAGACTGTTTTTAATTATTTAGATGTCCATTTGCTTTTTATCACTGTCAAGTAGTTTTTAAAAATCTTTTTCTTGTTTTAAAAAAGCTTTCTCTTTTAAGTTTCATTTTGTTATTTGCTTAAAATGGTCTGTTTAGAGACAAATGTAAATGAAAATATCTTCAATATATCTCAGTATAAAACTCTATTTTCAAAACCACATTAGTTATAAAGTGTTTAAACAGATATTAGTAGGCACTGTTTTGGCCCTTTTTGGCAGGACTTCAGTCCAACAAAAGTCTGACTACAAATTAAATACACTGATTAATACATGCAGTTTTTCCAAAATAATTTTTATCCACCTAGAATTTTTTACCATTAATTGTATAGATGGTGGAGTTTATCCATATTACAATTATTACACCATTCTGTGATTTACAAAAAATTCAATATTTAGTCAGCCAACTAAAATTATTATTTAGTAATAATTATTAGCAGGCCTCATTATTGTAACTTAATATAAAAATTGTCAAATAAACACTAAATCAGTTTAGATATTGTTATTAAATCATTTTATTTATATTTAGAGTCTACCATACCCCAACTTTCTTTAACTTTGATTTTCCTGCATTTGGATCTTATTTGAAGGGAAGATAGCTGAATTTAGATTTTAGTAACATCATCCCTTTCTACTTTCACTTCCTTCCAATTCACTGTACCAGAGGCTAATGCAAGAGGACATCTTCCCCAAAAAAAAAAAAAAAAAAAACAAACAAAAAAAAACCACCTTTTTGTGTGTATCAATGCTCAAGAGAAGTGCATGGACACTATGAATTATATTTGCAGGATAAACAACACAGTCAACCCAATGCCTTTGGTCTTTACTGAAGCATATTTTAAAATATAACCATTGTTGTCTTTTCTAAACTCCAAATCGTGTTTCATCAATTCTCAAAAAGGTCATAATCCGTGGTTGTTATGCAGTGAAAATAAATACATCTTCAGGAATATGATCTAATGATTTAATGAGCTATTTTCTAAAATGTGATATATACAGTAATTACGCTTTTCATTCGGTAGCCGATCACCTAAACCCCGCAAATTTTGGAATTCGCTTGATGCTTCCTATTATTTTTAATTGTGTCGTGTTGCCCAATCCAGGGTCGGTTAACTCCCCTCCTAAACCTCCTCCCCCATAATCCCCCCCTCACCCCACCAAAGACTAAGCCTGGCCTCAGTTCCCGTATTTCAAGCCAGGACCAACCAGAAACCAGTTTTCTTCCACTAATCCGGAACTCTGGGCTGTTACCAACGCTGTCATTGGCCAACGTCAGTCCTTGGTACGTGCCCCAAGATAACCCCCAGGTTTCTCTCCCTTTTTCCCTACAATGGGCCTTTCTCAATGTTTGTAACATATTCATAATCCACAAAACGGCATCTCTGATAACTAACTCACATCATCAAAGTTTCCGAGTGGAAATAGGCGAGGCCGGGGGGAGGGCAAGGTACCCTTTCTCCGACTGGCAGGGAGGGGGGAAGGGGCAGTCGTTCTTCGGCCCAGCACAGAGCTCTAGAACCGTGTAGGCTGAGGGGTCGGGAATGGGCCGGAGGAACAAGGTGGGGAGGGAGTGGAAAAAGAGTTGAATTAAGTTGAAATGAAAACTTTACTCACCAGATCCTCGAAGCTTCTTCGGTGCTCTTTTCCCTCCCAGTCTAAGCGGCGCGGAATCAACTGGGGGCGGGAGAAAAGAAAGGATGGGGGGTGGGCAAACCATATAGGCCATGCCTGGGCTGCCAATGAAACCGACCTAACCCGGGTCCTCGTCCCCGACCCTCTGGCGTCTGTATTTCTCTAGGTCTGATAGCTGTCGCCTCGAAGCTAGTCCAGTGTAGGAAGGAGGAGGCCGAGGGGGAGGAAATCCTGAAAAACCGCCTCCCTTGGTCATAAAGAGGGGGCGAGTTAAGACCCCGGCGATATCCGCCTCTTTTGAGGGAAGAAGCTGGTTCACTCCAGTGACAAGTTATGAGTGCCCAGATCCAAGCTTCCCTCCCAGCCCCTGTCCTCCGCCCCTGACTTGCCCTCCCCTTTCTCCAGTCTCACCCCAGCCCTCCCCACGTCTTCCCGAAGGGGCTCCGTACCTGATGCTCTTCGAGCTCCTGCACTAGCACCTGAGCAAAAGGGAAACACGGGTATGAGGAGCAGCTCGGGCCATCAACACATTCCTCCCTCCCCACTTCGAACCCAGCCGCTGATGGCAGGACTAGTCAAGGCCGGCCTTTCCCTCACCCTCAGTGAAATCGTACACCCAGTGCCTCGATTTCCCCATTGGGACCATTCCCTACGACTCCCAGATCTCCTTCTCCCTCTCACCTGGGCGGATTTGTTGCAGGGTCCGGACTGCAAGAATCTAGCGATCAGGTAATACAGCTCTGTGGAAGAGGGGAAAAAGAGGCTGAGAGGAAGGTAAAGAAAAACAAGCTTTTTCAAAAGAAACTGACAGCCGTCGCGCTAAGCTCCCATCTCCTTAGCCCCCCAGACACCCACCGGCTTCGATCTGGGTAGGTGTCGCCGCCATCCTTTTCCCTAGGGGGTTTGGGGGCTCCACTCCGGAGGAGATAACGGGGGCGGGTGGGGGCGCTGCCTCTATTGTGGTGAAGCCCCCATGCCCAGGAGTCCCACCGCTTCCGCCCCACTCCTCGTCCTAGTTTCCGTCTCTCTGGTCTCTCTCGGATTCATCGCATCACGTTTCGACCCATAGATATTCTAGCCCAAGAGCGAGGAGGCGGAGAGGAAGGAGAGGGAGAGGGAGAGGGAGGGAGGGGGGGGTAGAGAGAGAGAGAGCGAGCGAGCGAGAGCGAGCGCGAGCTGGCGAGCCTGGAGAAGAGAGGGGAGGAGCCGAAGCGGCGGGGCGGGGGTGGGGGGGGGGAGGGGTTGGGGGTGGGGACGAGGGACGGGGCAAAGGGGGTGGAGAGAGGGGAGGGTAAAAACTGTGAGAAGAGCCTGCAGCTCTCGCTGTTCGCCGCTAGGGACACTAAAGCAACCGAAAGGCCTCCGCTCTTCCTGAGGCCGGCGGTTGCCTAGCTACCTCTCCCGGAAACAGGGGGAGGTGCTAACAGACGGCCTACGCTCTGGCAGACGCCTTAGAACTCCGTGGTGACGTTCTCTTCCGAGAGCACATGAGTGTGTTTCCTCTCCTGTGAGGGCGGTGGGGCTCTTTCCTGTTTGAGGACTTTTCCTTCTGGCGCTGATGGAAGTTGTGAGGGGCTGACTTGATTCAGCCGCTTTCTTTTTTCCTCCGGTCACCGAAGAGGCTTTGTTGTTATTTTGGGGGGTTTTGATTTGTTTGGTTGCCTCTCCAAAATGAGGCCAGCCCATGAAGGATCTTGTGACTGAAGGAGAAAAAGGAGACCCTATATGGGCGTCACTTGTTTCGCTTTAAAATGTTTTTTGTACCAGATGAAAATGTTCTACTTACCAGTCCAGAGTGCAGGGCTCATATTGTTATAAAGACCAGTTCTAAAATATGATATTGTGGGGGGAATATGCCGTCAGATATGATGCATTTTATTTCCTACCCTCCTGAAAGCTTAACACGTGCCATACCTGTCTCATTCCCGTTTATTATTTAGGATAATTTCCCGTTTATCTTAAAGTACTGCCAAAGTATTTTATATTAATCATGGATTTGTGTTTTTTATTACGTATCTATATGCAAGGTGGTCTTATGTATTATTATAAATCTGTATGCAACCTTTGGGACAATGTTTTTTAATGCATAGAATCCTAAATTTTTGGTACAGTACTGACTTTCAGCATTTGGTTACTAAAATCCTAAGTAATTAAAGGATTTGTCAAATCGATACATATGCAATAAACTGATTCTCCTTTTCTATTTTTCCTTAATATTTTGTTCCCACCTCCAGCCTTGACCAAAAAAAGTAATAGAAACTGAACCCGATGAAACCAGAGATTATGTTTAAGCTGCATGTACTATTTACGTTCATTAAAATAATCAAATTTGAAGGTTTACCTTTAAAGTTTAGGGATGGATTCTTGGGAATTTGGTTTCTTCACTACGAGTTTAGCCATTGATCACAGTTGGTCTAGATTTGCATTACGCCGATACAATCTTAGCCAAGGATGTTTAGCTCTCACTCTGGTTACGATTTCCCATTAGAAAGAAAGAACCACACGGGGTAATTATGATATGATAGTTCTATCTTTGGTGATTGCGCTGTAGTACTTGAAAAACGCCATTAACCGAAAAAAAAAAAGATACTAAAAAAATATATAAGCCCTAGACAACTCATTGCAAGTAGTTTAGCAAAACACGAGATGGAATATTTTTTTTACAAATCAAATATAATATATATAACAGTTAAGTTTTATCAAGCCACAACCATGCACTAAGCACTTAATATCCTTCACCTCATTTAATCTTTATAGTTATCCTAGGAGGTAGGTTTTATTGTTATCCCCAGTCGATCATAAAAACGACTATATGACTTTGGAAAACTTACTTGTATTCTGTGAACCTTGTTTCTCGTCTGTAAAATAGGATAGTACTTGCTGTGCCCACTTCACAGGAAAGGCTTGCTGTATAATCATGTGAATATATTAATATCGTATTTCAAGGTTTATGGGATGTTGTTATTCCATTGGTTACCTCAGTATTAGTCTGAATGCAATCAGGGAAAATTACTATGAATTACTATGAATTACTATGTGCCTTTTAAGAGAGTTTAAGATACAAAATTATTAACAATAACAGGAGATTAGAGTAATAAGGGATTACCTTGTAAGGAGTAAAGAGAACTCTAACAAATATAACAATAGCAGATATATAATATAATAGTAGATAAAATAGCCACTATCTCTAGAATTGAGATATAGTACCTTCAATCTCTACTCCCCCCTTAGGGCTAAGATCCAGACTTGGTTGGAGAGAATAAAGCCAGACAAGATTTATTAAATGTTAGGAAAGATGCTATAGTACCTTGTGGGTAGAACTTGCAGAAACTACAACCTCTGGAAGTCACTGGAACTCTGCCCTGGTATCAGTCTTCTAGGGTGCCTGAGAAATGTGTTCATGGCGAAATGTATCACCAGAACGACTTTACTACAAAGCCACTCAGAAGAAGGATGCCAAAGGAAGCTGCTGGGGGAGCTTTGCCACCAAAATGATACACCACAGGAACAAGGCACAGGAGAAATTTGCATAAGCTGGGGGAGCAGCCTACCCAGTAAAAATGCCAGAAGCAGGTAGCAAAAGCCTTTATTCCTACACTGTATTTCCAGCTCCATCTACTGACAAAGCTTCAATTCAAGCTGACAAAAGGAAAAATATTTAAATGTCCCAGATCAGGGGGGCTGGGTGGCTCAGGCAGTTAAGTGTTTGCCTTCAGCTCAGGTCATGATCCCAGGGTCCTGGAATCTAGCCCTTTGGAGCTCCCAGCACAGCAGGGAGCCTCCTTCTCCCTCTCCCTCTGCCTGCTGTTCCCTCTGCTTGTGTGCTTGCACTCTCTTTCTCTGTCAAATAAATAAAATCTTTAAATAAATAAATAAATGGCCCAGATCCATTTTCAAAGAGCAGTCAAGAGGGGAGAATTGAGATGATAAGCAGCAAATCAATAAACTGGCACAATTTCCTTGCTTTGCTCTTTACTGTAATGACTACATTGACAAAAGGAAAGTTATTTAAATGTGTATGGTAACAAAAGCTTTAATTTGTTGTTTGTGATAAGCCAAATGCTTTGAATTACTTTGTTGCAATTAAAGTCACCAGTATTAACCCTGTGCCTAGAAGCATAACCGTAAGGGGAAGGAAATTTTCATAAATGAATGGAAACATGCATTTACAAAGAAAAAAATCTGAAATGTTTGCCTGCTTGGGTGTATTAGTTTCCTGGGACTGCCATAACTAATTACCACAAACAAGGTGACTTAAAACTAAAGAAATCTGTCCTGTCATAGTTCTAGAGTCCAGAAATCTAAGATCAAAGTATCACCAAGGACACACTCCCTCCAAAATCTCTGGTAGAGAATCCTTCTTTGCCTTTTCCAGCTTCTGGTGGCACCTGGCATTTCCTGGTTTGTGGCAGCATAACTCCAGTCTCTGACTCCAGCTTCATATGGTCTTCCTGTGTGTCCCTATGCTAAAACTCCCTCTCCTCTTTCTTATAAAAACACCAGTCATTGTATTTCAGGTCCACCCTGAATTCAGAATAATATCATCTCAAGAACCTGAATGATTTACATATGCAAAGACACTATTTTCCAATGAAGTCATATTCACACATACTGGGGATAGGGAAATGGACATATATTTTGGAAGGGACATAATTAAACCCACAAAGTTATTTATTTCATTCTGTCTCCTTAGAAATAATGTTAATGGAAGACCAAGGTTGAAAATTACAAATATCCCTAGTATGGCAAAAAAAAAAGAAAATTAAAAAGTAGGGAATCCTGAGATGGAGAGACAGAAATGGTAAATTAGAAAATTGATATAATAAACCTTGTAAATAAACAGTTCTATTTTCTTATCTCATTTTATTAAAATGTATACAACATAATAAGTAATGTATTCTTAGATTTTTAAATATATCACATACATTATGATAGCTAATATATTTTAACATTTTAAACAGATATTATATGCATAACAAAAATAGGGAAAAAAGGAGGAGGGAATAGAACTTTACAGGAGTAACATTTGTATATCTCAAGGGAACTAAGTATAAAAGTGAACTATATTCTGCTAAGAGATATATGCTAAGCCCTAGGACCACTAAGAAAATAACATTAAAAATAGTGAAAAAAGGGGCACCTGGGTGGCTCAGTGGGTTAAAGCCTCTGCTTTCAGCTCAGGTCTTGATCCCAAGATCCTGGGTTGGAGCCCCCCCATTGGACTCTCTGCTCAGCGGGGAGACTGCTTCCTCCTCTCTCTCTGCCTGCCTCTTTGCCTACCTGTCATCTCTCTCTGTCAAATAAATAAATAAAATCTTTAAAAAAAAACTTTTAAAAATTCCACTAGAAAATATTTGCTTAATGCAAAGAAAGAAAGAATAGTACAAAAAAGACAGGGGCGCCTGGGTGGCTCAGTGGGTTAAGCCTCTGCCTTCGGCTCAGGTCATAATCCCGGGGTCCTGGGATGGATCCCTGCATCGGGCTCTCTGCTCAGCGGGGAGCCTGCTTCCCTTCCTCTCTCTGCCTGCCTCTCTGCCTACTTGTGATCTCTCTCTGTCAAATAAATAAAAAAAATCTTTAAAAAAAAAGACATAAGACATATAGAAAAAAAATTTAAATGATAGATGTAAATCCAACTATTCAATAACATCATTACATGTGAATGTATAGATTCTACTTATAGGATAACAGCATGAAGAGCTTTGTGTATAAGCTCCCAAGTGAAACTAGTGGAAATTATAAAATATAAACAACCATTTAAAATTTCTAGAAATGGTCTTAAAATGGCATAAAATAAAATCTAAAAAACATGTATTTAAGAAAACTTAAAACTTTAGAAACAGTGAAAGTTTATGATATTTGAACAAAGAACCACTCCCTCCTTCTGCCCACGCAAATTTATCTGGGGAGAAACTCCACTACAGAGTAGTATAACTAAAAATATAGTTTTAGTTATCCTAATATGGCTTTCTCTCCCCCTAGTTCTCAGTTGAAGTGCTATCTTCTTGGGTAGCACAGGGCATAAGTGTTTCTCATACTTCTCCCAACTACCTGTTCCTGAGGCTGAGTTCTAATCCAGTGCATCCAAGATATGGTGGTCATCATTCTTTCACCCAGCCCCCAT